CCCACCAAGAAAACAACCCTTCTGTCAAAAAAAAAAAAAAAAAAAAAAAAAAAAAGCAGAATGAGGGTGGGATGGGGGAATGATCAGATGACATCCAAATCTTACAGAAAAGATGGAAATTAAGTCTCTTTCCAAAGCCGATATGAATTTTTGCTCAAATTATTCTGCTGTATTAGAAACTACAGACACTAGATATCCTGAGCCAGCCACAGCAACTTGAGAAAACAGCAGCTGTGTAACGCAGAGCCAATAAAATCAATGACAAGTTGAATCCTCCACAACGAGGCAGACACAGAAGCAGAACGAGACAAAGAGAAAATCATGCTGCTTAGAAAGTCCAGAACGCCTTAATTCAGCATAAAGTCTAGGAGAATCCCTGTACAGTTCAATCTTCATATTTTTGGTTGAAGTAATTTCCCAAAGAATGTTTATCTCTAGCATGAATTGTCTCAATCCACCAGGTTAACATACACTTCTTTAAAAGATGAAAGATTCAAATAGCCTTATTATCTTCTGAGATTTTTAAACATTTTTGTTTCCTAGGTGATTGTGCATACTATAATAATTTACTTACTTGAACGGACTTAAAGTTCCTCCTCTGTTGATTTAGTTTGCAAGAATTAACTAAATCTTCATATCAGTTCAAATAATCTACAAAGACAGGCTCAAAATCCAATAAGCTAACCATGTCCATATGAAGAAAATAGGGAATAAAATTAGTAGAATTCTTTGCTTCTAGGGGTACATTGTCACTAGCTCTTTCCTCCCAAAAAACTGACCATCTCTTATGCCACTCACCATGAAATCTCTGCAGCAAGTATTCCATGAGGGAAGTCAGTGGCAATACCAGGAGAGCCAAACCAAAGGCTACATTGAAGTTCAGAAATCCATTAATGAAATAGAAATACCAGGGCTCTGTACCTGAGGGAGACAAAGAGGCAAGAAATCATTAGAGGATGTCTTCAGCACCTATCACAGTGCTTGACCCAATGTTCTGTTCAAGTAATGCTGATGATCCAATGCCTCGAGTGAATGGGAGTCCACAAGCTCACTCTTGCCATGAGCTGCCACACAGGAAGCACAAAAGCAGAAGACGGGAAAACAGTGGGATTGGCCATGACGATTTAGAGAGAAATCAAGTTTCAAATATTTAGCTGGTTTTCTATACTGACCACTATATCTAGCCCAAATTACGATGCCCAAATGGAACTAATACTTTTTCAGAAGCGCCAATTTAAATAGCTTTACGGACACAAAGGGCTACAACAAAAATGCCATTTGAATTGAATTACTCTCTCTATATTCTGTATACTAAAGGA